ACCGCAATTTTCAAAAAAATGTAAATGCCCTTAATGAAAAACTATAGAGAAAAAAATTTTACTTAAAGAAAAACTCTTATCTTCAATTTTGTAATAGTAGGAATATGCCGAAAAAATATCTTGAAATTTTCGAAAATTCAGAGTTAACGAAAAACGGACCAACGCCATCTCTACAAGTGCATTTTTCTCCCTTCTTTTAAGTTTCGAAATCGCAAAACTTCAAGTGAAGCCAGATCGATTGGGGACTATCCGTTTTCGAAAAGCGCTACGTGTGATTTATGCGCTAGTAATATTGAGAGACGGTCGAACAGCCCACTAGACGCACGGAAGTTTTGGAAAAAAAGAAAAAGGAATAAAAGAACCCCTTTTGTAATCAGGACTCCCCAAAACGTATATTTCCGTTGAAATCTCGTACTCAATTTTATTACTGCATTACATAACATTCTGTAATACGTACTCCGTGACTAGGTACTTATACGAGAAAGTGTCTAGTGGAGCTGCAGAATGGCACAGACATTCTCGTCCTGAATAATTTTCAAATTTCTAATCATAACAAAAATAAGATTTTCTGTAAATAAACGGGAAAAAATTCTGAAAAAAGGTTCAAATTTCTACTTTAAAATTTTGGTGGGGATAGTGATAAATGTACCCTATAAGATGACATAAACGTCATTTTGCTCTATTTTATTGTTGTTTTCTCAATAATTACAAAAATGTAATTTTTTTATTCCTCTCTCAGGTTGTTATTATTTACATTAGCGGTGATTTTTTCACATTATTGCATTTATGTTTACTTGTGGTTTGAATGATTTCTTATGAAGTTTCTCTAAAACTGAATACTTTTGTGTAAAAATTAGCTCAAATTACCGCATTTTCAGAAACGCTCAAAAGCCTCCACACATTTCAACATACATTTTTGTAAAGGATGATGTTGTACTCTTCATTAATATTCTTAAGGTAATATTTCAGTTGTCCGATTAGGAAACCGAGTTTAAAAAATGAAGTTTGGGTGGCTATAGATAACCGACAAGATAGCCTAGTCCAAAGAAATTAGAAAAAAATAGTACGAGAACATCTATGCCATTCTGTAGCACCGCTACTTTTTTACTCTTTTGATATTATGTGGAGATATTTCAGAGCTCAAGTCCATGTGAAAAACGAGATTATTTCATTTTTGAGGCATTGTTATGTATCACAATCTGTTTATACTACTATGTTGAAAATACTAATTTACTCTGACTGTGTTTGCACAATGAAGTGATGAGATAACGATGAGTAAGATCTTAAAAAAATGTCTTTCCTTCCTCTTTCAAACGTTACACCCTCTCCTCGCACTGCAATACCACGAGCCAGTCGCAATACGAGGTGGGATCTTAGACCTTTATTCGGCTGGGGCTGCGCCACAGGGTTGATGGAGATTCCCACCCAAAAAACTATCGAGGCCGTGGCAGGCCAATGAAAGGGGCCATGTTGGCACCAGCAGCCACCGCCGCCAAAGCACAGGTACGAGTACATCCTGTGGATTTCCTGTCGGATTAGTTTGTGTTTGGCAATAATACTATATTCTTCAACGCGCGTAGAATAATAGATGTAATCCAGGAGTTTTACGACAGGAGCGACGTAGGAGCGAGTGTCGTAATTTCTGCGAGTGAATAGTAGCCATCATTATGCACGAGTAGAAGACTACTTTTTCTACGACTTTGAAATTGATATTTTAAAAATAGTAAATGAAAACATTTGACAAATTTTTATTTTTAATAATAATGTTACATTTATTGACGTTTTTGCATCGTTAATTTAATATATTACAGCATTAACTACAAACAAGAAAACAAAACAAGTATTACAAACATAAATAGTCTAGATTTATTTTTTGAAAAAAAAATAACTGGGAAATTAGAGCAATTGCTAATATGTTTTGTCGAGGGAGTTAGCTCTTAATTTAACCTTATCTACATTACATGCGTATCTGCAATACCTTCATGGCTATTACTGCTTCTAGAATCAATATTTGTAAGTCAGACTAGGCGCCTCAACCTTACAGAACGGCCGTAAAACACTCCATGTCCTCTGGCCCTAACAGCCACCAAGGCGCATCCTGTTTCGTGGTCCAGTTGTCTTACGTCAGTTGCGACCTGCCGCGGCAGAGCTCGTGCCCTCTGGAGGCGACTGCGAGAACTCTCTGTCGTGTGTTACGAACTAAGGAGAACGCGATTGGGGAAACGTCATTACAGTATCAGATAACGTTCAGAAATCCATATCTACTACAGTAGTCGTAGAGAAATAACTAATATTCTTCGAAAATTGTTTAAATTGTTTTTCTTATTACACCCTTTTAGAATTATGTAACTGAATATAACCATTAGTTTCACCTAAAAAAACAGTCACATTCTTCATTCTGTTCTTAATTCTTAGTATATTTTTTGAATAGATACACCTATGCTGAACGAAATTGATTTGTTGAATCTGTAATTTTTACTATATAAGTTTTGAATGAAAAATGTTCATGTAATTTCATTGTGTAGATTTTTTTGTAAAAAACAAAACCATTACGAATTCGATGAACAACAAATGCACGGATGTGAATACACATGCAAATGCATCCTCTCTTACATTCGCCTGTTCGTCGGCCAAGAAATACTCTTTCTCCGCGTGAGAGGTACGTAGCGAAATTTGCGTGGTCAGACGGAAGAGCAGGCCTCATGGCCCGAGTCCGCGCCACGTAAAATAAGGCTTCAATTCAATTGAATTACACGTGAGGCTAGGTGATCGGATGAATACGTGGCAGTGTGAGCGCGCGTGTCGGCCGTGGGCGGGCGGGCGGCAGGTGCCGAAGATGAGCGGCGCCGCGATCAGATAGCGGGCGGCTGTGCGGCCGTTGCTCGCGGGCCGCGCGGCGCACGTGGCGAGGCCGGCGCGTGCACGTGGCCCGGGCGGCGCGGCCGGGTCAAGGCGGCGGACGCGGCGCGGGGCACCGGCCTCCGAGACGCGCGCGAGGGCGAGGGGCGGTGCATTGGCTCAGTGATTGATGTTGAGCTGCCTGCCTCAGCTCCCGTTAGTGTAGTGAATGTGTTCATGCCTGGAAGTGGTGGTGCCCCCCCCCCACCGCTGGAAGGTGCGATCCGGCGGCGACTGGGCTTGCGGGGGATTTCCCTCTCCAGGAGGCGCTGCCCAGCGGGGCTCTCAGCTCTCCACATGTGTGGTAGTGTAGTGCATATACGTGTGTGTGTGTGAAGGGGAAAAGGAAGGATAGAAAAGAAGGAAAGAAAGCGCGCGGTCCGCGGCCTGTTTGTTCGTGTACTGCTTCAACATTCACCTGTAATAGACTGGAGAAACCACGAGAAAGTATCGCTCGAAGCATCCAGCGCTAGAACCATCCCGACCTCCCGCCGATAATCGCGTCAGAGGTAACAGCAATGCTGCATCTGAGCTAACACAGCCGGTGCGATGGCGGTGGAGCCAAGAGCGGAGGGAAGGGGGGTAATGAAGTGTTTCTGGCAGGAGCGGTGACTATTTAGGAGAGGACAGGACCTGCGGTTGCGACAGAAGAGGTGGGGCTGCAGACCGCCTTTCCGTCACCCTGCCGCTGCTCGCGTGGCAGCTGGCGCTCATCACACTGCGCCTTCCACATTCGAATTCTCTCAACAGCCACTTTCCCACCGGAGATATTGAAGCTGTCGCTTTTACAGAACAGTTTTTTTGGACTAAAGAGTTTATCTGCAGACAATTTTCAATGCAAGACAGATCGTCTCATCTTTTGGTTTTTATTTTGGAAATAGCATAAGGTTACGACATGAAACTAATAGGAAAATAACATAAATTGAACTTCACAGATAATAAGTTTCTTCTTGGGCTACATATTCTCCTGAATCTTGCATTTTTATGTATTATTGTTTTAAATTTATAGTTTCATCAAAATATATGGGACTTTACTGATTGATAAATAACAGATTCTAGTGATTTATAGTCAATCATTACATTATGTGGGGTTAACATATTACACATATGAAGAGAGGTTGAGAGAGGGAAACGAAACTCATTTTCGTGGTTAGAAAATTTCATAATGTTCTTAAATTCCTTGCTTACATTTTTTATCGATGGAAGAGAAAACTCTAGGAAGTAGTGTATTTATCTCTCAATAGTTAAGAAATATTATCGATATGACAGAGAGGTATGGAGGTATGGATAGGTATATCCTTCTATGCTGTTTTCAGAAATCGAATGTTCAGATTATATATTGTGAATGCCAACTGAAATGTAACTGAAGGAAAAGCGAAATATACTTGAAAAGTATTTATTGTCACATCATACAAAATTATAATTTAATACACTGATCCACTGCCATATCTCGACAGATTTCAGACAAGAACTTATTACGCATGCCCTTAGGGCACGCGCTCTCCTTTTTATTTTGTTTTTTCACTTACCTCAGAAAATATTCTACCGTACACCTGTACATTAGTTACCTGAGTACCCAAATGTGCGTTAGCAGTAACGAATATTTTTGAAAATATATTACAATAGAATAATGAATTTAGCACGCTTTCTGTTACTGCAAAGTGGTTACTTGACAGTATGCCAAAGGCCGAAATGATAAAATGAATAGGAATTTAATTCGAATTGCAATGCATATTTTGTACGTAAAACAAACGGACGACGAAATTAAACCTCAGTGCTTTTCTATGTGAATGGAAGAAGCAGAAGAGGTGTTGAGGTGACGGGGGCGCCGCCGGAAGTCCTTTGCTGCGCAGGAACGAAGAGAATATCCTGGATTTGGCACATGTTTGAACACAGTCTTCGCCCAGGGCGAAGGGCCAGGATCCTTCATTCGCCCCTGGCGCGGAGCGATCGGTGGGCCGGCGCACCGCCTGCTCTTGTGGGCGCGAGGCCTGCTGACCGCTGCGTCGTCCCGGCGCCGCCCACGCGGCCTCCGCGCGGCCCCAGCGTGCCAGTGCAGTCAGTCTTGAATCGGAAGAGGGGGCGGGGCGGGGGTGGGCGGTCTAGAAGCGGCGGTGGAAGGCGGGCTCGGGCGTGGACGGCAGGGTGGCGAGGTAGTCGAGCGCGCGCTGGATTTCGGGCGGGATGGGCGGCGGCGTGGGCAGGTGCGCGCCCTGCGGCTGGAAGCCGTTCTCGTCCGCCACGTACGTCAGGCTGATCTGCTCGCCCTCGGGCGACGTGTAGGAGGAGGAGCCCTGAGCCACCTGCGCCTCCACGCCCTCGCCCTGGCCCGCGTTCTTCAGGTAGCCCTGCTCCTCCTGCACGATGCCGTTGCCCGTCTCGAAGCTGCGCACAACACACAACCACACATGCATTAATGCTAGCATTGCAAGCATCTACTAGGTGGCGGCGTACGAGGCGTTGCCTGAGCCCTCCACATGCAAGCTACACTCCAAAGTCATTTTGTGTTTTATTTCCAAAAACTCACGTTTTGGAATCACAATTACGCCATGATTGATTCTTGGTCGCACAAAAGTATGCGCAACAAATATGAGATAAGTCACTAGAACGAATGTTTTGTGAATATAGCATTGTTAAGAACATATCGTTTATATTATATGTTGAATCATGCTTTGCTATCATATCACGCCGTCTGTGAGATTTTTTCAGGTTTTTTGGTCTATCAAATGAGCTGATAATTGCACTTTGATATGCACACACATGTTTTAGAAAATTGGATATCAAACCCCATTGGGAACTGAAAAGGATGTGTCACTATCCATATGTACAATAAAATCTTGAAATGTCATTGAACATAAATTAATAATTTAAAAAATTAACTTTAATTTTTCATCTTTACTACTATTTAAAAAATGCAGATGAGGATTGTCTGACATACGATTTTCTTTATCATTAACGATATGAAGGGTTGTTTATGCTCGAACACTGCTTATACCCCTGGAAAAAGATTAAACATACGAGAAAGAATAAAACTGACATTCAGGAAATAGAAGTCTTAGTTTTTAATCACAAAAGTCACACTATTTGCTGAGCCATCTGTATTCACCTTTCTCAGCGCAGTCAAACTTCCAAGTGTCACCTTACAAATCTAAAAGTCAAGCAACTGCATCGCGTGTTGTTAGCGAAGACAATGGCAAACACTTTGAATAATGACGGTGACATCAGAGACGCATTTGGAGTCGCGTCATTTTGTAAAGTTCTATATTTTTGTTTGTAGAAAGCGAGGTAACAAATTTTATTCACAAATATTTAAACTTGTTTTGTATTTATTGGAAACGTTTCGTGTCAATTTATGAATGTATGTCACGTTCTAAGTCGCCGTTGTTTGCAAATTAGCGGCGGAGTCAGGGGAGCTCCCGCTGAGTCAGCCGGCCCCCTTTCCCAGAGCTGTGCGCTGCGCTGCGCCCCGTGGCTGCGCGTATGCGCCTTCCTTTGTTCCCAGTCGCCCGTGCACATGCGTAACCGGCGCTCGCGTCCCTCGCTGCCCTGCAGCTCCCGGGCCCCGCTTTCGCCGCATCGCACGTCTCCCAAGACGGCTGTGAAATACTTTCGTTTAACGTCGATTTCGGAACATGAGGATTAAGTAACCATCATCTCTCCTTATCCTCATTACTTTGACCACTCATTTAAAGAAAACTCTCAAGTCAGTAACTCTCGGAAAGAGCATTAAACGAAAAAATATCAGTTAATTTGTGATTAGTTATTTTACCCGTGACTTTCTCAGTAAATATAAATTTGTTCTGTAGTTTCTAAGCAGTGTGAGTAAAAGTATGAGAACAGCTCTCTGCAGAAATCGACAGGTGTCGGAAACGTACCATTGAATTTAAAATTATTTAATGACAATAAGAGAAAGTAAGTGGGACAACACAAGCACTTTTCATAGAAGGAAGTCAGTGATCTAAGGTGGCAAGGGGAAACGTTCTTAAATGATCTTTGAACACCTTACTTTCATAATCAGTGTCGTGGCTTTAGGAGAGGCAAGGTAACCACTTTACAGAGACATATAAAACAAATGTTAATAGAATGTAGCCTGTATATTTTTGTAAGTATTTTTCGTCTTCCCATCAATTCTGCCTTAAAGCAGAATCCGACGTGTTGAGTCATCGTTTTTCCAGCAAGGAACGAAATATCATTCTTCCCAGGATTAAGTTTTCGTGCGGAAATTTTGCGCGCGCATCACGGTGAACGACACAGCAAGGTTGAAAGCAAGGGCTGGGGCGCCTTTTAAGATGCACGACATCACATGCACATCACAGGGACAGATACGCCGCTTTTGCTGCGAGTCGATTCCGTACGCTGAGATCCGCCTCTTCGTTTCAGTGTACTATGTGCAATTTTTTTACGTTTAAACATGTTTCAATAATTCAACCGAAATGTAATTCCATTCAAGGTGTTGACTGAAAAATACTATTTACGGATCACTGCCTGAACAAGTTCCTGCCTTGGCCCCGTCCTGTGTCCGCTGTGCCACGTGTGTTGCGGTCTTTGCGAAGGTTCCTCCCTTGCAACGGGCTTGTGGTTTCAGCGCGGGGGAGGGGCGGTGCCGGGTTCGACGCCCACCGCCGCACCCGCCGGACGGAAGTGGGCGCAAGGCGACGCAAATGCCAACGGCGCTGCGGTGGGGAGGGGAGGGGGACGGGCGGCAGCGCAAGGCCTCTCACCACCTCGCGCTCTTCTCCGCTGCCTTCACAAACTTCGTCCTACAGGTCAGCCACCGATGAGGCACAAAGAATGTGATGCGGTAGACACACGTGCACGAGAACGCTTCCCAGGGAGGGACAAGGAAATGTCACAGAGCTTATGCAGATTTGCCGTCAGAAACGTTTATAAATTTGATATAAACCTGGGGTAATAAATTCTGAGAAATATATGAATGCCGGAAAAAGTAATGGATTAGTATCTATAGATATTAAACGACAAAATGTAAAGATAATCAAAAATTTCAATTTTCCTAACATTTTAAGAATTTATACTTTATAATTGAACAAGATATTTCTTAATTTCCGAAAAGGTTATGATTTGGAAACATCCATGTGATATAGAGAAATTAAGTATTTAGTGTACTTTTAAATTTTACTCCATACACTTAATTTTCTCCATTTGAAATATTTTTATTTATCTAAATTATCAGAATTGTCTGCAGGCTTCTACCTGATATTTTCTAGCGCTTTGTTCTGATCCAAATAACAACTATTGTTATAACATCATAAAAGATGTTTGATATTTTCTATTCAAATAAAGAAACACTGCAAAAATAATTTTTCGCAAAAAGAACAAAGAAACCCATTCAAAAACGTGAGGCAAATACTATAGCACACTTTGCACCTCCTTGACAGCTTCCGGCTGTAGCTGAGCTGGTTTGTAAAGAGAATGATTACAGGGAGGCGGCGGGGACTCCGACAAATGAGCAACGCCTTGGCCTTCCACCTCCCCGCCCCGCCCC